CTTCAACTTTTGTTTAATTTGTTTTTATTTACTTGTGATGATTGGTTCCATTTGTTCTATTTCTTGCTAAACTACTTGGGTCTTTGTTTACCTTGTGATATTCAGATTTTTCTGCAAACTCTTGAACATAATTCTGCTTCACTTCAAGAACTTGTGGTACTTTGTTGTAGAGATTTACAATATTCTTATTCTGTTTTCTAATTTTGCATTATTGTTATTTAAATAGCTTAATAAGTGGTAATCAGGGTTGTGGCAAGAATGCATGTATCGTATTTAAGTCTAACAAATAGAACATACCCTCATCTCTGCTTGATTGGACCGTAAATCAAAAACCAGAACTAAGCATTAACTAAACTAAAATTATGTGAAACCACTCATCCTAATTTTTAACTCCTCTCTTTAAGAGATAAACCACATTAAAATAACATGAATCTAATATGTATTAAGTTGTATATTCCTTTTCCATTTATTTACATCTGTACACTTTTAATCACTGACATAAATCCAAATAGGTATTGACTAGTTTAGTTTAAATTGTTCCTCTATGTGTGTATGTGTGTTTGGTTTATATTTAAGCAGCAGGGGTGAACACACGTTATTGGATCCCAGTGTGGAAGGGAAACCATCACTTCCTCTGCCTGGGGGAAAGGAAGGAAACTATCTTTAGTTTCTTACACACAAACACACACTGTCCTCCTGCTTCTGCATAGTGTAAGTCTGGGAATAGATTGACTTCTGCACACGAACACACCCACCTTGCAGGCCCCGATTATTTTTAGCTTCACTCCTTATCCATTCCCCATAGATTATGGGATGACTGACCTTAATGGCTAACATCATCGGCTCTCAAAAAATTTCCAGCAGAAGTGCGTCTGTAGTTTATAAATTTTGGATATGGCAAATGCCTGTTATATTTTCCTGCCCCCTGTCGCAGGGTCATCCTGCTGTTCTCCTGCTCTCCACTGTGCACAGGATGCTCACTTGGGATTCCCACCTATCCCGTTGTTTCCTCCAGGGTGCGTTCCCACGGTCCGACTGTTAAAGTGTATCCTCCAACATCCCACACGTCCATGTCAGATAGTTGTAAGCTCCAAATGTGGCCGTGTCTGAATGTGTGGTCACATGCAGAGGTATTTGAAGAGGCGTAGGGGTGTGTGTGTGTCTTTTGTGCATATGCATGTGTAGGAGTGAGCATGCTCCAACAAAAGCCTAAAAATAGTAGGAATATGCCCATGTGACATACGGAAGCTAAAAGCTTGTGAATAATTTGCTTAACACAACACATTCTCTCTTCCTTAGATCAGCCATGCAAATATTCTCCTGCTGATAACTTCTGTCAGACACAAAGTCAGAAGGGGTGCATGACCAGTCTGTTCCATTAACCCTGTTTTGTCTCATAGATTCTTGTGACATTTTGTATAAAACTCGTTATGCATTGAAGGGATTAAAAGCTTTCAAAAAATTGTTTTCATGTGAAGAAAGCTTATTATAAATGCTATATGTTTTTTTTTTTTTTTAAACAATTGCAGTTTTTTTTTGCCCCTTCATTTCTTTCATACTTTTGTAGCTGTCTTCCACTGAACATTTTGTACCAGTCCCGAATCAATTCTTAACCACCTGCGGTTTGATTTAAAGTAAAATTCTATTGCCCAATAGTGGTCTGCTAGAAAGAAGTAGCATTATTTGATTCCAACAAATGAAATAAAGCTGCTGGAGGTCAATTTAAGGTTTTCTTACCTAATCCCTGGTCATGATTTGTCATATTTTGTAAATGTCAACTGACCCAAAATTGGGTCACAACCACAGTTATTGGAAATAGGATGGTTTAAAAGATCTTTATAAATGAATACATAATTCCATCAAAAAAGTTTTGTAATTTTCTGATTTAATCAAAATTATTTTCTAGTAGAACTTAAATTGGAACTTTGCTTTACTTATATTATTCAGCTGTTTCTTTTTTTCACATTTATGGTCTTAAATTTGAAAATAGGCTGCTTACAGGAAAAATCATCAGCCAACACCTCTGCCTTTGTGTACACATTATGATAGCAACACAAACATCCAGTCGTTCTACAGCTTTTACCTGGAGTGGGTGGTGATAATAAAGTCTCCTCGAAGAGCGATAAAAACCTGCAATTTCCTTCTCTGCCTTCACATCCCACTTGGTTTAGAAGTGCAAGTAAATGAATTTGGAGAGCAACAGTATGTATCAAGGGAATTAGGACCAGTGTTGTAATACTCATTTCTTGATGGTCTCGGTCTTGTTTCAGTCTTGGTATTTTATTTCAAGATCAGTCAAGCCTGCGACTGTGGAAATATCACTAACCTTATAGCATACTGAACAGTTTATTTGTTTATAGTTTTGTTTTCAATGGATGCAAAACCCACCAATCATTTAGCAGCGCTTTGCTTTCACAGACTGTGGGGGCTACGTGTTCCTGTTCTCTTTACTAAGAAGACAGGACTGGAGCCTCACCTAGAGCCGTTTTTTGTTCTTGTAATGTTCTGATTACACTGCAGTCTCGGTCTCCATACACTCTGGTCTTGGTCTTGTCTCGGTCTCAGTTTAGGTGGTCTTGACTACAACACTGATTAAGACTCAAGAAAATCTTGTTTGTATTTGCGAATAATGGGGCACTGGATTTTTTTTTTGTGCCACATTAGAAATAAAGATCTTGTTTACATCATTATGTCTCATACATATTCATTAGCAATTAACTTCAATTTATTATTGCTGGCTTTCAGCTGCTGGAAAAGAGTTCAGTCTTGATGCCAAGACATGTGACGAGCCCGTAGAGGTGTGTTTTGTGATGTTTTTCTTGTTGATAATATTGCTACATTAACTCATTTGTTGCTACTTTTTCCACTAATGGAACATTGCAGGGTTATATGATGTAAACATTTGCAAAAATATGACATTTTGTATGTTGTTTCTTTATAATTTGCATCTAGTCCATGAGATACTTAATATTTTCCATAGATTTTTTTCTATCCTGAATTATTCTATATGCCCTCAAAATGTTCTATCACATCATAAAATAGCTGACATTTGTAGTTAAGTATGAATGTTTAGCTTTTATATCACATGCTCAACATTTTGTCAAGTCTCATCTTCAAAATTAGTGATTCTGCTGTGAACAAAAGTTTAATATCTACAATGAAAAAATTGATCAGTTCTTCCTTGCTGTCTTTTATTGGTGTGAAGGTTCTGAAAAAGTCAGGTCATCACAAAAGGTTCGGGTTTGATCAGCTTGTGTCGGCCTACCACCGTATAGAAATATCTTATTGCACTACATTAGCCCCAGTTGGCATGTGAAGGACCTGAATTATTTACAACAACAAGACTATGTGCAAGTTCACACTTGCTCATCCTAGTGACTCTGTGTTTAGTGTCAGTGGAAATGTGTGCCTAGCGATGAGCTGGTCTACCATAAAAAGGACTAAAATTATTTTCTATGAAGCTTTTTGGACATCGTCTTGGAGGTAAACTTCATCAACATTGAGATACATTAATTGACTGAATACCAAAAAACTTGGTTAGAGACACAGTAAGCACAAAACAACAATTTGTAGATGGAATGGTGAAATTGAAAGCCAGGCAAGGGAGACGGATCTAGGAGGAAAAAACTGATGGAGGGGAGAAGGGAGTACAGTGTGTGCCAGCCTGGGGAAGTTTTTGTGGAGGTGGAGGTAGACAGAAAGCAGTTGGGTGTTTAGACTGGGTGATAACACAGCCTCAGCTGACAGAATGCCTGATAAGCAGTCTGAAAGTCAGGTTTGGCAGGGTTGCGGTGGCAAGAGGGAACTGGGTTAAAAAAAAGTAAAAGGCAGACAAATGTATAAAACTGAGAGAGCTCAGGATTTCCAAGAGCCTAATTAAAGAGACACGCAGCTAGAATTTTATCTGAGTCAATAATAATGTAAGACGTGCCTCACTAAATGTAAATCAGCACTGTTATATTCTGTCTGCAAAAGTAGGCCATCCATGTCTAACATTTATGTTGAAGGTAATAGATCTTTTTCTGTTCCACTGGTTTGCTTGGTTGTGTGGTAATAAAGCTTTTTGTCACCTTTGGCTCTGCATAAACGATATTTAAGATGTACAAAAAATATGCCATACTTTACAAAATGTCACTGAAGTCTGTTTTATTACAGTTTGGTTAGTTATTAGCCCTACTCAGAAAACATCTGAGAGTAACAGGTTAGCCTTCTACTATTGACAGCTAATGCTCAAATGACAGATAGCAGATATCCGGATCAACACATATGAGTCCATGCCCTGGTTGTTTGTATTAATAAAAGTCACATATACAGTCATTTTCACTACTTTTACAATTTTAACTTCTTAAAAAAAAGATCATGGATTGAAAACTGCAAGTTTCTTCTGAGAAGAAAAGCTAAAAAAGAGTAACCAAGTGATATTTGGAATGCTAAACTAGGACGTTAAAGCATAGCAAAGTATTAACCCAAGAGTGTCTCCAGCTTGAGTTCATAAAGTGAGGACTTGCATGGTCAAGTCCTCACTTAAAGGAGGCAAAAACCGGGATAAATGTTATTTGAGAGGATTAACCAGCTCCCTATATAGGAGTATATCTGGTAAAAAAAAAAAAAAAAAAAAAAAAAAAAAGTATCTTTTTGGTTTGTTTCATATCAAGAATATAGTCTGTCATCTATTCAATAACATAAATAGGTCAGGGACTGCAGATCCAGATTACTTACTATCCATATATTCACTTCCTGTTTTTAAGAAAGGCATTACTACAAAAACTCATTTGTATAAAATAAATAAATAAAAAATGCATGTAAAATTACTTATCTGATTTGGAAAAACAACAGAAAAGCCAATTATGATTTTAATTATGTTTTATACTGTCAATAGTCATAGGTTTTCTTTTAAATACACTTTTAAATGCACTACCATGTCTATTTACCTATGTACTTGCCAACATATTTTGTATTAAACCATTTTTCTCTTTTTTTTTTTTTTTTTTTTTTCACAGGGAAGCCCCAAAGTATTGAGAGTTCTGAGCGGGTCCAGCTCTCAGGGACCTACAACGTCCGGAAAGGGAAGCTCCAGCTGCCAGTCAACCGCTGGACCAGACGGCAGGTCATTCTATGCGGCTCCTGCCTCATCGTCTCCTCTGTCAAGGAGAGCCAGATCGGAAAAATGCACATCCTGCCGCTCATTGGCGGGAAGGTATGTAAAGGAAACATGACACACATTTTCTTGCTTATCCATTTTGTTTCAATGTTTTATGGTTTATGCTTTGAATCGTAAAGTGATAATGTCGCTCCACAAGCGAAATGACCTGACGATCAGTATGTGACCTTAAGTAACTGTTTGCTCTTTGGTTTGAGTTTAATATTTATATTGTTTGTGTTTTATTAAATTCAGATTAGAGAGCCACTGGTTCTATCTGAATGTTTTCAGCTTTATTAGAATGTGTTGTTCCTTTCTATTCTGAAGTCATGACACACTTTAACCTTTTGTGCAATAGCGCTCAATAAATTCACCTTTATCCATTTATAGCCTTGCATGCCTACTTGACAAATAAGGTCCAAGGTTTTTCAGAAAAATAATTATCTACTTTTATGCCTGACACAAAGAACACTCCATTACCCCGCCACACCCTGTTTCTAAACGTCTCACACACAAGACCGCATTTGTTTACATTCTGAGTGTGTGTGCTGGTGTTCCATTCAAGCTCCATACTCAATCAGCTGTTCATTCACAAAGGCTACCCTATGATCAGGTGTGACTGCATTTTCAAAAAAGATGTTTCACCTACATTTGTTGTTGCCTCTGTCACGCACAGGTGTTGATCAGAGGAGTGCGTGCTTTGCATATTTTCATAACTGTCTTTGACTGAGTTAATCTACACTGCAGGTGTTCAGCATTTTACTGCTTCAACAAGTCATTTCAAATTAGTCATTCCTGTGTTAGTTTTGTTCCTTATTTCCTCTCATCTATTTTTACAAATAACTATTTTTTTTTTTTGTGTATGTGGTCAAAATGGTTCACAGCCTGTTGTCACTTTTATATTTACTTTGACTACAGGTGGAGGAGGTGAAGAAGCACAATCACTGTTTGGCCTTCAGCTCGGCAGGGCCTCAAAGTCAAACCTACTATGTCAGCTTTGACAGCTTCACAGAGCACCTGCGCTGGCACAGACATGCTGCCAAGGTATGGAGTGTGTGAGGGAGTTGGAAGAGAAAAAACTACAAAAGTGTCAGGTCCGTTTTGTATTTGTTCAGCTGACATGCGCTTTAATCCCACTATGAAACGGCCAAGTGGGCATAAATTTGCTGACAAGGTTGTAAACAAATATTTTTGAACCCATCCACTGAGATTTTTGTGTTTTTGCTTATTAAATGGAGTCCGTCAACTGAGAAAATCTAATATACACAGCCATTCAAAAAAAAAAAAAAAAAAAACGTACCACCTGGATTTATCAAAGCAAACAAAGTGAAAACATTCCCTTTAAAATTACTGCATGGATAATTATGTTTCAGTTAGCACCAAGTTATTTAACCACAACTGATGCAGTGACTAGCGTTGTCTTTCGACAATGTCGAAAGACACATTACATTGAAATGAAAAGATGCTTGTTTGTATATGAGGGATCAAACTTTTTCCATGCATCATGGAAAGAAAATATTTAAGGAGATTGCTGAAATGACTGAAATTAACATTAGAATTTTCTAATGGCTTCAAACTCTTCAGTGGACAAAAAAGTTTTGTTTTCAATTGGAAATGACAGGTTTCTCCCACTAGATATTGAAGCCATGTATATTTGTTGCCCATGTTTCTTAGTATTTTAAAAAAAAACTAAGAATATATATATATACATATATATAAATAATCAATTTCTATACATAATATTAGTATATATTATGTATAGAAATTGATTTTTTTATTTACTGTAATTGCTAATTAGAAGAAGTTTGATTGCTTAATCAGAATTAAATTTATTTAGTAGTTCAAAAACATTTTATAGCTGATTACTGTCACTGGCATGGTGTATAAAGCCTTTGTCTCTAGGTGCCCTCACACACAGTGTCTCTCTCTCTTCCGTCTCTCATTTGAACTCAAGTAGGACACAGCCAGAAAACCTCTTTTCTAAATATTAACAGGGACGTGCATGTCACCGGTACCCAAAGGGACACTCAGAATAGACGCTTGGATAAAGATGGAACGTGCTTCAGCGATGACTACAGAGCTGCAGGCTAACTCCACTCTTAAAGGCTCAAGTTCACAAATTGTAGAATTTTCTCCTTAAGATGAGAGACATTTATTCTGGCCTTTTAATTATGGTGCTTTTGGTGTCTCTGTTCACGCTAAGGAAACACAAAACTGCTACTACACTCTTCAACATTTCGGTGAACCAAACAACTTAAAGTTCTCAATGTTAGGTCAAAATCTTTTCTTTCTAATGTTTGACCCCTATCATGGTGATGTATACGACGACAGTTCTCATGTGATGGAGATAATACTGATCAACAGTGTTTTCATTCATCCCATTCATTTTTTACACTTTTCTTCTCCCTACTTCCTATTAGATGGTGTCTCAGAGAATCAACTCAGTTGATTTGTCCTGCTGCAGTCTGGAACTTCTTCCCCCCAACCTCTTTTATAGCCACGACCTCACCCACCTCAACCTAAAACACAACTTCCTGCCTGCAGACCATCGCCTTCAGCAACTGCAAAGGTATGATACTGTGACTTACATACAGGAAAAACATCTAAGGGGTTGATTTTTGGAAATGTGTACTATTGCATGTATCATTGATGTTTTTATGTCACTTCAATTCTTCCACAGTTTGTGGAAAAATTGTTATTATGTTAAGGCCTCAGAGGTTAGAGAACATTAGACAGCGGACAGTACCATAATTAGATATAAAAAAATAAAATAAAATAATAAAATAAAATAAAATCACACCAGATGGGTCAGGGATAAATTTGTGGAGAAGTTTAAACTAGGGTAAAGATATAAAATGATACTCATTCCTAAGAAGTATTGTTCATTACATCTCCTGGAATTGGAAAGTGTGTGGCACACCTGCAGATCTATGTGTCCACCCGAAGTAACAGGCTGTCCAAGGAGAGCTTAAATCAGAGAAGCAGCCAAGAGGTTCACAGAAGTGCCAGAGCAGCTGCAGAGAGCCATAGCAAGATTTCTCTCTGGATGTAAAAAGGGCATTAATACATGCCAATTACATTTCCAGCTGTGATTGCGGTGAAAAGGTGATTCTACAAAGGATTGACACAACATTTGAAAACCATGTTTTTTATTCTATCCACTATACAAGTATGCACTTTATCCATCATCACAAAAAAAAAAAAAACTTTGTGTTTGCAACATGACAAAGTGCAAACAAAAAAAAGATGGGAAAGTCATAATAGGTCAAGTTGATTTTGAATTGAATGTTGTGGCTCAGATGATGAACTTTGTGCCAAGGTGAGGTTTAGGAAAGCGAAGCATAAACCATGTGTTAAAGGAAACTTGTGATATGAAAAGATGAGAGACGAGACACTGATGGCGAGGTTTCATTGAAAACAGCTGGACATGACTGTCTGATTTGGAGAGATTTGGTTTTTAGCCGCATACTTGCAAATCATCAACCTGACCAGACTAGGACAAGAGCCATTGGCACAAGAGGATCAAAGAAGCCAGCCAGGGTTGTTGGAGGGTAGGCCAAAAGAGCCCAGAAGGATAGAAGCGACTGCAGGGAAGCTTTTAATGTGCCTTGCTTGTCTTACTCTTTCTCTCTGTGGGCACCATCTGCTGCGTGCTTATCATGGTCCCAGATTAAAGACCACAGGCAAGACACTGGATGCTACATGTGTGGTCGCGTGTGTTTGCATGCGTGTGTGTGTGGGTGTGTAGCCATATATAATATATAATGTTCTGCTTCACTTTTATGCTTGTCACTGTAACTCCGTACTACATGTACGTGTGCAAAGCGGAGCGTGTGTTAGTAGAGAAGTCGCTTGCCTGTAAATTTGGCTGCAGGCTGTAGATTTGGGGTCAGTGCATGCAATGTCATGATACAGTATGGCATTTTTATGTTTTTTGTTGGGTTTTTTAAATTTTATTTTATTTTTAGCTCGCCTTCGAGAACTCTGTGTTTGTGTGGCAGTGCGTGTATAATCTGACATGCTTTTGTGCCTTCCTGACAAATGGGGTCAAATTGTTGTGAGTCCCTGTCATGGTAATATTAGTTTGACTCATCTTTATTTCCTTTTTAATCTCCAGGATAATAATGACTGATGTTAAAAGGAGAATGACATGGAAGGGAAAAACTGTTTTTAAATCAGAATATGGGATGCATAGCTCCCCTGCCGGTCAAAGGAGATAGCATCTATTTTGCTTTGCCAAATCTAAGTAGGCTCATCCGCATTTGACCCAGCATGAGAGAAAATGAGGTCAGTAATGAGAAAGAGATGAATAGTTTAGCTGAAAATAGAGGGATTTTGACAGAAACATGCAGCAGAGTTACTTGAGTTCCCACATTTCCCTTGAGAGGCCTGTATCAAGCAGGCGAGGTTAAGAAGTTAAGAAGTGTACTACATTATGTACTGCCGATGTGGACTGTTAGTTTATCTATCTATCTATCTATCTATCTATCTATCTATCTATCTATCTATCTATCTATCTATCTATCTATCTATCTATCTATCTATCTATCTATCTATCTATCTATCTATCTATCTATCTATCTATCTATCTATCTATCTATCTATCTATCTATCTATCTATCTATCTATCTATCTATCTATCTATCTATCTATCTATCTATCTATCTATCTATCTATCTATCTATCTATCTACCTACCTACCTACCTACCTACCTACCTACCTACCTACCTACCTACCTACCTACCTACCTACCTACCTACCTACCTACCTACCTACCTACCTACCTATCTACCTACCTACCTACCTACCTACCTACCTACCTACCTACCTACCTATCTATCTATCTATCGAGAGAGAGAGACGAGACACTGATGATATATATATAGAATAACTTGAAAGTACAATCTTTTTTTAATTTGTTAATGCACCAAAGTAGATGCCACTAGAACAGAAAGACTCAAAATTAGCAATCTCTGTATGAGGGAGGTGTTTAAAAAACAAAGTCAGAGAAAACAAAGATTTTAAGAAGCTATTAAAATAAAAATAATTTTTTATTTGTTTGTGGATCATTCAGGCTTCAAGGAAGCAAGACCTTGTATAGATAACCGGAAGGCTAAACGAAACAGAGTACAGCAACATGAATTTTGAATCTTTATTCTCTCGCTGTCATTATGTTAACATAATGGATTTAGAAATCTGTTAAAGATCTACTGTACATTCTAATTCTTGACAGCAGGCTATAGTTGTAGTAATGTCATGTACGCAATTCACTAATAGTAAGGTGCTAAATCCCAAAAGCATTTCTTAATCATTACACTTTGTTTAAGACAAAGTTAAAACCTGTTTTGTTTTGATTTGTTTTTTTAACGATCCCTCTTTAAATTGTGGTGTAATATCTTTTCTATTCCTAATACAAATAGTTGAGGCAGAAATGCTAGACAAATATTTCAAAAGCTTTTATGGTGTAGCTATTGGATAGCATCTGTAATGGGACTTTAAATCTTGGCAGAAATCAAAACTTTTAATTTTATGCTTTTATACTCTACCTGTAAACCTTTTGTAACAAAATAAATGAAATTGATTATTGGTTCACCTAACAAAATATCCATTCTCTCTTCATCTTATATTTTCTCTTCATTAGAGGATTTATGGCTTTTCAACTGCTAAATGCTCCACATCGTTCACCAGCTAGATGCCCGCTTTGCCTTGTGGCCATTTTAGAGCTTGGCACAGCGTACCAGGGGTTTATCAGAGATTTGCCCAAAACACAGCAGCTGCTCAAAAAACTATAAATGGACTTCTTGGCTGGACCTTTGAAACAATGAGCTAACTGACAGTGTTTTGGTGGCATTTATAAGCATTTTTTAGTTAAATCCATCTTATTAATGCAATAGTACTCTTGGACTCCTTCACCGTTGGTCTAATTTGGCCTCCAGTATGACACATCTGGTTATTACTTGCCAAATACTTACAGATTTCATTCTTTTCAATTTTGGCAGAAAATTCAGATTTTTTTTTAATTAACATTATTTAAAACAGAACTTCAAGTAATTAAGTGAAATCTAAGAAACATCAGGATCCTTTTGGTATTTTCCCCAGGTGACTGGGGAAAATAGTCATTGATTACCTCTACTTCTAGGAGCAATTAGCCATCAGTCACATCTGAAATATCCGAAAATGTCTGAATGTTTTCTGAGTGTGAAACTCTCCTGTGTGTGCAGGTCAGTTAAGGAGGGAGAGTGCTGATTGGCTGTTCCTGTTAGGAATTTGTGTGCAAAAAAGGAGATAACCATTATGTACCAGAACCAAATACTAAATCAATACATTACTTTCTCATTTTCATATTTCTAACTTTTTGAAACATGTATTTTATTATGGAAGATGTTGGGACAAAACTAGCAAACTGATATTGTCGTAACAGAAGAGTACAAACAAAACCTTCTGTTTTTTTGGTTTTTTTGTTCAGGTAATATTTTTGTTTTTGTTATTGAATGACAGTTCTACTGCTTTCTTCACAAGGGAGTTAAATGTATTTGCAAAGACATACATCTTACATCTGAGCTTTCATTTGGATGATGTTTTTGTTTTGCGAGCTTCTCTCTTTTAAAGAACTTAAGCATATTCAGTCTCCATAATCCAGTAATGATGTTGTAGCATTTTAAGAATCTCTTCTGGAAGTAGAATATTCAGAACTAAATTGCAAACTTAACTGCTTTGCATGTTTTTGTAACAGAAATATGCCAATCTTGTGATCTTGATATTACAAGATTATCAAAAATCTTGTAATAGTCAGTAGATTTTTTTTCTCTTTGATTTTTGTTAGTATTAAGTGTGGACTACAGAGGGCAAAATGTGATATAATTAACTTTTTTGCCTATTTTAACACAAAATAATTCTTGAAAATTTGAAATGTTTTGAGAACTCTGTATCAGGGGAGACTGTTTTAGGTCTTCTGGTTGCTTTACTGTAATAGTAATGCACCAGTTGGGTGTTTTGGCTGATTTTCAATCTCTGTTAATGTAAAGCTCCCACCTGCTGACCTCAATTGTTGCTGATTCAAGTTTTTCTTTAAGAAAAAACTTTAAGAACTATCCGTCTACAGACCTTTACAAACTCAGCAGCAACAGAGTCATTTGTTCTCTCTCCCAGGACTAAAGAACAAAATTATAGTTGGACACCAGGTTCAGGAGTTCTTGCAGCTTGTTTTTGAGACTTTATTGACTTCAACAATACAGAACCTTTTTTCTGTGTGGTGTCTGGACATTATTCTGTAAAATACCGCAAAATAATGGTCCTATGAGGACTTTGTACGATTTCTGCATTTAAATTTTTTAGCAATATGAAATACATGACCGTAATTTTGTTCTTGTTACCTCTACTTCTAGGGGCAATTAGCCATCAGTCACATCTGAAATGGCTAATTTCTGCCACAAAAGAACAAATTGCTCTGTCTTGTAGGGTAGGTGTCTACAATTACTGGGAGCACAAGAGCAAGTGTTTTATTGTTGCATACAAAAAAAAACAATTCAGCATATATGCTAACCAGTACTTTAAAACTGCAGTTTACATACCAAAACAAACCAAAATGATGCTATCACGCTGGGAGTTGTTCACATAATCGCTGCTTCGTTAGCACTGCAACAAAGATGAATAAGTAAGAACATTCAAGATATTTTTTCTTGCTCAGCCGCGATGAATTATTTAAATTTGGAGCATAGACAACATTATGCGGTTTCAGAGAGTAGTCTCTGTAACACAGTTTTACTATTGTTTCAGTAATAAGACAATGTGGCTACCAAGATCAGGTTTTAAACTGTCTCTTATGTTACATGTTGGAATGACCTAACATGATATAAAGGAGGAGACACAGAGACTGAGGCGAAGGCATGAGTCTTTTACTCAGCCATTTGCAGAGACTGATGTAGTGATCAAGAGGTGTTTTCTGACATAATCTCCACCAATGTCAAGCAGGGGCCGCCCTCAGCTGGAATTACTTGGCCACTCAAATCAATAACTCCAACATCCTTATCATTGTCATAATATATTGTGTGAATCTGTGTTTAGCTTGAGTTTAGAAAAGAAAAATCCGATCAAATACTGGTTACAGCAGCTACTGTGGAAAAAAAAGTTGTTTGTTTGATAAATAAAGAAAAGCTCATTCTGCAAAGTTCACTTTAGTTTTGGTCTCCTTTCTTCCTAAGGGCTTGGCTCCTATAAGGGTTATTAATATGTCATGAGGGGACACACTGAATGCCGCTGGTCTCTGATGTTTAAAGAAATAACAGACACTCATGCTTCATTTGTTTACTCAACAAGTCAACATGAATTTTTAAAACTACTCTGTCTTTGGGGGTGTTGAAATTCATTGTATTTTTTTTATGTACCTTATATATATATATATATATATATATATATATATATATATATATATATATATATATATATATATATATATATACATATATAATATATATGTATATATATATATAATATATATATATATATATATATATTCAAGCGAGACTTTGCTTCACTCCCCATGTATATATTTATGAATGCACTATATTTTTTTTGCAATATTAATCTTTACAACATATAAACAAGCTTTTCAATTTACCCTCTCCGTCTCCGTTCTCTTCTTCAGGTTCTCTCGTCTCCGCAGCCTCAACCTCTCCAATAACCACCTTGGTCAGTTCCCGTTGGCCATTTGTGACATCCCCACCCTGACAGAGGTCAACCTCAGCTGTAACTACATGGACTCTGTCCCCAGCTCTGTGGAGGCCATGAGCAAGTAAGCAAAAGAAGCAATTTACACAGAAGCAATGGAAAGAAAACTTTTTTTTTTTTTACCAGTGTCAAAAGGCAAAAGAAATACATATTACAGATCAAAATCTTTGGTGATGTCAGGAGCTTAATATATTTCCCCATATGTGATTTTTAAGACATTTCTTATTTTGTTTCCTTTTGGTGTTTACCTTCCTCTATCTACTATTAGTTTCTGTAGATACACATTTTGCAACAGTGCACTACATTTCTGTTTGTCTGTGTCAAATTTTTGCATAGCCAAATGTGTCGATTTTAAAAGGGTGAATGGTGACCTTACTCATGCAGTACTTTTGGTCTACTTCTTTATTTATTTTTGTATTGTTTTGTTTGTAATGATCTCATCTTAACAATGGTCTAATCAGTGGGTAATAAGCTTGCTTTGTCTGTCCACTTTGATGCACATTTCACTTTGATAAAAAAAAATATTTTTCAATCAGCTATGAGTTGGGTTTGGACACATTTGCTGACAGTTTTTATTCATCTCTTTAAGCTGCTAAAAATTAATTTTTCTCCACATTTCTGACAAACATTACCTGTACAAACATCACCAGCCACGTACTGACAATACAGACACTATGAAATGCCTTAAGTAAGGAATCACAGCCCTGAAGCAGTCAACTTTAGTGTCTTCTGTTGGGATTTTATGTGACAGATCAACACAAACAATATGTAATTAAGCAGTAAAATGAAAAACAGATGGTTTTCAAAATTTCTCCTAAATAAATTTCAGACAAATATATTATATATCAGTACTCTGATACCCCTAACTAAATTCCAATGGAACTTTTGAGTAATTTCAGAAATCATTTCATTTCTCATACGTTTATTTAAGACTCCACCCCAATCATGAAAGTTGATGTGGGGATTCTGTTTTTTGATGACACTATCTACAGGACATTCCAGAAAAAAAATCCATCAGAGGTGGCATAAAACCTGAAACTGAGTGAAGGTCCGCCCTAAACAGATCAAGAGCTGAAGTGGTTAAGATAATGATGCTTCTTTATGTTAGACTTGCCCAGTCAAATCAGAATCTGTGGCAACACTTGAAAATTGGTACTTCATTCAGTCTAACTGGGAATATGCTGTTTTTACCAGGTTTGTTAAAGGTTCATCTGCAAATATGCAAAGCTTGTCGAGTCATATCCCAAAAGATTTGCAGCTGAGCTTTGACAGTCAGGAAGACTTAAAACAAATATATGGCGCACTCAGTGGATTTCTAGTTGAAAACCATGCATCATTTTTCTTTAAGCTTTAAATTTTAGTCAAGTTAGTGTTGTTCTTGGTCTGTCACATAAAATCCCATTAATCCAAACTAAAGCTTGTGGTCGTAAAAACACACAAAATATGAACGAGTTCTGGGATTACATTTCAGAACACTCCTTCATATTCAGACCTCAGTCAAAGCCAAACATGCTGGTATGCAGGGTATGAACTTTTGAAGATGAGAAGGTAATCTGCAGGACAGATCTGGTATGCCTGTAAATTCCTAAAGTGACCAGTAGGGTTGCTATTTTGCTGCTGCCATCTACTGGACATTAAGTAAACTGATTATTGAGGCATAGCATGTTACATGTTAATCTTATAACGCTTGATAAAATCCAGAGACATCATTAGATATGTCCTTGTCAAAATCCCTGATCGTTCCTCTTTCAGTTTGCAGACATTCCTGTTGGACGGAAACAGTTTAAGTGAGCTGCCGTGTGAGCTGGGGTCCCTGCAGAGGCTGAGCTACTTAGGCCTTTCCTTCAACCAGTTCAGCCATGTGCCCCAGGTGCTCGAGCGCTTGGCTTCCATGGAGAAGCTTTGCATGGCTGGAAACAACCAGGAAACGCTCACCCTGCAGAATTTCAGACTGCTCCATGTCAAACACATCGATCTAAGGTAAAACCGCACTGGCAGCTCACTCTGTAGTTTTTATGTTTAGAGGGGATTTTCTGAACGAACTCATTGAACTCTGCCCAGAACAATGCATGACTTTGATTTTTCAGTCATTCCTGTCTCGACTGTTATACACATTAACATGCTTTAATCTCACTAATTATGGAAACAATAACATCAGGCGGATTCCGTCACAGAGCCAGACGGCTAAAGAGCACGAAATGAAGAAATCATTTGTCTACCCATTAAGTCCCCTCTTGTAGTCTCGCAAGGAAACACAGAGCTGGAGTGACTTGCACTATTTTCCAGTTAATGCTTCACTGAAACTTTGTCGAAGAAATTTTGAAATCAGCTGCAGTTGTTACTCTTCTTCAGCTTTCATCCTGTTTTGTAAATCACACGCCTACTGAATAGAGGGCAATGATACTTGTGCAACAGAAATCCAGCACTAATATGTAAACACAATTCGCAGTCTGGTCAAGCTGAAGATGAACTCTTTCCTCCTCTGTTAGGTTGAATAAGATCTCCGTCATGGTGCCAGATGAGCCGGACCTGCTGAGGCACGTGACCCAGCTGGACCTGAGGGATAACCAACTGACGGAGCTTGACGCCTCCATCTTCCCAAGGCTAGAGGTCCTCCACTGCGAGAGGAACCACATAACATGTCTTAAGGTCAAAGGTTCCCTGCTCAAAGGCATCTACGCCTCAAATAACGGTGAGCATGGCTCTGAATTAGTAGGTAGAACTTTTCCTTTTGAACCACATCGTCACTTGTTTCTCAGCTATACCTGAATCCCTACTCTGTAGGTGTTTTATACGGTAGATGTGTCATCTCAGATGTGCCTCTTGTGTTCATCTGTTCTCATTCTTCAATTTTCTCATCAATAAAACTCTCTAATTGTCCCTCTGCATCATTCCCCTTCATCATTCCCCTTCGCCCTGCAGCTCCCTCCCCAGTCCTCTCCTCCATTTTAGATCTTCCTGCTTTTTTATTAGGCTGTCCTTGCTGTAGGTTAATGTGTTTGGATTTCTCCCCACAGAATTACGACAGCTGGATGTAAGTCCTGTGCCTTCCAATCTCACTTACATGGATATCTCGAGGTGAGTAAAAAGTATTTGTGTTTTGTAAAAAAGGAACTGTAATAAAATAGTGAAATCACTGATGAATCCTTAATCTATTGGATTAATGTATATCCAGTATATATTCATAACTACCTAACTCATCCGAAAACAAGTAAGAATAAAAAAAGCTAATAGATCTCTTTTGTACCATTTGCTTATTTGTGAAAACACACAGCCTCTTGACTCTTGGTTGCCCAGACTCCAGTAGACAGCTGAATGTGTTCTGTGGTATCTGGCACCAAAATGTTAGCAGCAGATCCTTTAAGTCCTTTGAGTTGGGGCCTCTATGGATCTCACTTGATTGAATTGAGATCCTATTTTGCTTCCTGGCATTATCTAGCTGAAAGAGCCCACAGCCATCAGAGAATATCATTTCCACCGCATTGCTCTCTGAAACAGCATCAACTTCTTTAGCATTTTGAGCTACACTAGCTTGGCTAGCCATTACACTCTGGACGTTGTCTAGCTTCCTGTACTCTTTACGTTTGGCCATTTTTTTTTTCCTGCTTTCAACACATTAACTTTCAGGACACACTTTTTATTTACTTGTAAAATAGCCGCTTGCCATGCTGAAGAGATGATGAGTGATCATGCTTTTAAGCTCATACACTGCATGAGAATAAAGATAATTGAAGAAGAATGTAAATGAACATTGTAAAAAAAACACTGCTATTCCTAACCCAATAGTGAATTGTTTTACTCTTTACAATGATGGAAACTTTTATTTCAATGTTCTGACATTGACATTTGACAAAGCTTGACATTGAGACTGCTTGATTTATAATGTACTTTAAAATTTGACAAAACTAAGTGGCCTTCAGGGAGTCGCATAATGAAGAAGAGTTTTCCGTCTGAGTATGAGGCAGCACTGCCAGGACTCCATTTACCTAAATCTATAGTGCTACATAATACAGAAAAAGGACATTTATTCATTCTAACTTATATTCCATTTAAGTAACACAGTTTAAAAACGGCTCATCATTCATCATCATCATCACCCCTTGTTCCACCAGGAACCACATGGAATCCGTGCCAGACTGGCTGTGTGAAGCGAAGAAACTGGAAGTGCTGGACGTGAGCCACAACCTCATCACCGAGCTCCCGGCGAGGTGAGTCTCCCTCTCGCCGCAAACATGCCTGTAAATGTGAAGCAATGCTGCGCTACTCTCTCTGCCCTTTGTCAAGTGATGTATCTATCCCCCGTAGAGCCTCATAAATCACCCTGATAGCCGCTAACCTCTAGATGCTTTTTGAACTGGCTGCTTCTCTTTTTGTAGCATTTTTAGAAGGTTAGTTCAGATGCACCTTTTACTCTTTGCCATGCTTTGCATCAACCTTGCTCTCTTGGTTTCTCTCCTGTTCTCCTCTTTCTCTCTCTCTCTTCCTACGGCTGGTCTCCGTTTTGTCTGGACATTTATTTTTTACCCAATAAGTGTCAGGATGATGAATTTCAGTTACAGGAGCCACCAGAGGCGCTGCTACTCTCAAATTTTCTTCCTTCCTTGTACGCACATCCAGCTTTGTCCTTCACTTTCCCTTTTTACTCTCTCTTCAATAACTGCAGTCTACCTCAATTTATCTGTATCTGCTTGTCTGCCCACCCTACAGAATCTCAGCTATCAATCCATCTTAATCATCTATCTGTCTGTTGAAATTGCTTATCCATCACATGTCAGTGCTGACCCAGCTCTCTGGATATTTCTCATGCTGCAGGTTGTTCTGCAGCAACAGTCTAAGGAAGCTGAGTGCTGGACATAACCAGCTGCAGAAGCTGCCTGAAAGAGTGGAGCGCCCTCTGCTGGAGGTTTTGGATGTTCAGCATAATCAACTGGTGGAACTTCCCTGCAACCTGTTCCTCAAATCCAACAGGTAGCTTTAAGAATTGGCTGAAAGTGGCTGGTTTTCTTTTCTTTTTTTACAATTATGCATCTTTAAGTCAAAGAGGAGCTTGAGGGAACGGGAACTTCGGGTGTACAAAGATCAAAGACGAGACTAACTGAAGAAAACATTACGAAGGAAGATTTTTCATTTTCTCAGGAAAATTAGTATTTTAACAAAGCTACTCATTGGTGTGTGTTTTTTTAAATAATGTATAGGGTTTTCTACTGAAGAATTATACAAATGCATACTTGTTAAAAGCCAACTGAAGAAAAGAATAAAAACATTTTTTTATGTTTGTTTTGGTTACTAGAGGAACAAGAATCAGCTGATCAGCTGACGTGGGAAAACACCACAATGAGCCAGCGTACTGATAACCAATCTAGATTGCATCAATGAGACCGCATTATAGTTTAACAACTTGGCCAAAAAATATAGTCAATGAGTAATCTGGTTATTGTAGTCTCACTGGGCCCTTTGAGTTTTCTTTATCTCAAAATATTCCTGAACCCCATGAAGTTTTCTCACATACAGCTCAAATAAATGAAATGCATCTGAATTGCCTTTGATTAATTCTGCATAAAACTCTGATGTATAATATAGTAAATCATTGGATGTGTTTCCCAGTTTAGAAATTCATCTCTGTTTTTCTGTCTCTTAAATACCATGAAAATAACTGAGTTTTTTGTGTTTTGGGTTCAGTTTACGATGCGTAAATGCATCAGCCAACAAGCTGGAGCACCTGCCACCCTCCAGTCTGTCAGAGGAAAGCCACAGCATCCTGCAGGAGCTCTACCTGACCAATAACTGGCTGACGGACAAGTGCGTGCCGATGCTCACAGGTCACACACACCTGCGGGTTTTGCACATGGCGTACAACCACCTCCAAACCTTCCCAGCGAGGTAAAGAGTTCCTTCCCAGTAATTTCCCCTCCTGGAATAATTTAAATATTTGTTTTATTTTATTGTCCATGTAATACTTTTTATTTTGAAGAAATGTAATCACCAGTCAGTAAAAAAGAAAAATGTCAGTTTTACAAAAAATTTATGTAGGAAATCTGAACATGTATTACAAAGATAATTATAAATGTTTTGAGTTTATTTCATTCATAAATGAAAAATTTGTAATTCTAAAAAAGTTTAGGATACATTTTTGCTTTAACTGCATCTACATCATCATATAACAGTGTTTGCTAACAGCATTTGCATGTCGTCCTGAAAAGTATCAAATTTAATTTGAGCATTTCCCAAGCCTGGAAACGTACAGGAAGGATCATTTAGCCAAAACCATGTTCTTCTGATGGGATATGACATTTGACTGAATGTTTTGTTTGTAGCGCAGCCAGCACACACATGCAAGGAAAAGATCACATTATGACAGCTGACCTCATCTGTGAACTTCGCTGTTCTTTAAAGAAACAGATATTTAGTTCATGCTTCAGCTCATCTGTTTCCTTTTTACACTTCAGTAAAATGGCCAAGTTGGAGGAGCTGGAGGAAGTGGACCTGAGTGGAAACATGCTGAAGACCGTTCCCACCACCATCATGAACTGTAAACGGATGCACACGCTTATTGCCCATTCCAATTCCATCGAGGTCTTCCCTGAAGTCATGCAGCTGATGGAGATGAAGGTGAGGCGTCAGCAGCAGCTCGTCTTTATATGAAGTCTCTGTGGTTTTGCACCTCTGAACCTCCACTTGCAACATTCTGTTTTTCAGTGTGTGGACCTGAGCTGTAATGAGCTGAGTGAGATCACTCTCCCAGAGAATCTGCCTCCAAAACTTCAGGAGCTGGACCTCACTGGCAACCCGCGCCTCAACCTGGACCATAAAACCCTCGAGCAGCTTAAGTACGCCAACTTCATCTGAGCACACCTTTTCATTTTCCACTTGAAGCTCTTTCTCAATGTACTCTGTTTTTCCTTGCAATATATTACCTAGTTTTCCTTTATGTTCATTATTTCTCTGCTGTTTGTTCATAATAACATATGGCTTTAGTTTATGTATTTATGTGCCTGAAGATAAGGGAATGATTTTGATCTGCTTCGTGTTTTTTGCCTTCCAGTAACATTCGCTGTTTTCGTATTGATCCACCACCAACCTTTTCATCGAATGAGGCATCTGGGGGGCCCGCTGTGTGGAGTCATGGTTACACAGAGGCCTCAGGCGTAAAGAACAAGTGAGCTAAATTCAGTCAAGAGTGAAAAGAACAACCTCCATCGTGTTTGTGCTGCAAAGCCTCACTAATATAATCCTTCTGAGAATTTGTGTTCTAAAAGATAACTTTAATGAAAAAATATGGAAGCAGTGCTCTTCTAAAACATGAGCATTTGCTGCAGAATCTCTTTGTTGGGGAAAACTGGAACTACAAAGCAATAAACAAATTAAAAAGTTTTTTTTTTGATGACAGAAAGGGTTACTGTAGCCTGGAAAAGTCTGGAATTCGGTTTCAGTATTTTCCATGTTTGGAGAAGTACAGTTCAGTAACAGTTCAGTTTCCTTCTTCATATTCATTCTTGCGTCCTTCTTTCTTTCCGTTTTTTGTCCTTCCTTTTGTTTTAGTTCCCATCCCTCTGTCCTTTCTTTCTTTATTCTGTCCTCCTTGTCTTCATTTCTTTTCTTGCCATTCTTCCTTGTCTCCTTTTTTCTCATGACTCTTCTATCTCCTTTTTTCTTCTTTCTTTGCTTCTCTGTTCTTTTCTTTCTTTCAATGTTTGCTTTCTTGCTTCTTTCCTCTCTTGCTTCTTTTATTTAAGTTTCTTGTATTTTTGAGTTTTCATATTTAAAGTCTAGAATATATGCTGTAAATTCAAAGGGAAGTTTGAATTTGCTGAATGACATTAATTCAAAATATTCAGTATTTTCAAAATATTCAAAAAAATTGGAAAATATTTGTCAAAACATTGGAAGTTTTAAAACACATATTTGCATGAAAAATGTTTGGAAACCTTAGCAGATATTTAGATATTCATCCAAACTGATCATAATAAGTATTACCTATTTTTTTTCTCTCTAGCTCTTGTCATTTCCTTACAGAGTGATTGTCTTGTTTCTTTTCAGACTCTGTGTTGCCGCACTTTCAGTAAACAGTTTCTGTGAGAGTCGGGAAGCTCTGTACGGTGTGTTCGACGGAGACAGGAACGTGGAAGTGCCCTACCTGCTGCAGTGCACAATGAACGATGTCCTGGCCGAGGAAATCCACAAGACGAAAAGAGAAGAGGATTACATGACCAACACCTTCCTCGTCATGCAGAGGTACGTGACCAGCAGTAATACTCTGTTCTCTGGATGTTATTTTGCAAGCGATTTTTTTTTTTGGTGGAGGAAGAGAATTTTGGTTGTGTTTAGGAATTTTTTGATTTTACAAGAGAGTAGAAATAGACATTAAAAAATGTGGTTAAATGTTAGTTTTGTGTCCGTTTAGTGATAACATTGCACAACTTTAAATTGTGTTTTCTTGAAACAGTCTGTTTAACAGTCAATACTTTGTTTTGTTTTGGTTTTTGTTTTGTTTGTTTTTTTTCATAGGGCTTTAACTATGGTGATGTTGGGTTTAGCAGATTTTTAAATACTTTTTATCATCAGTTTAGTTATCGCAATAAATGCCACAAAATATTATGATGAACTCTTAACCACAGATCACCCGTCTCTACCATCAAGTTGTCAGAGATTGTGAATGGAAAATGAATCCGTTCAATCCCAGGGTTTTAATTTTCAGGTTTTAAATTGAATCATAATTATGTTTGTAACCACAGAATCCCTCCTGAATATTTACAACTTAAAATCTGTTCAATAAACCGTCGTCCTCTCTCTTTTTTTGTCATCCTTTTTCCCCTTGAAGGAAATTGGGAACAGCTGGACAGAAACTCGGCGGCTCTGCGGCTCTATGTCACATCCGACACGACCCTACCGACCCCAGTGGCTGCTTCGTCCTCACAGCAGCTAATGTGGGAAAGTGCCAGGCCATCCTGTGCCGGGACGGGAAGCCCATGTCCCTGTCGCTGCTTCACAACGTGGGCCTTGAGGAGGAATACCGTAGGATTAGGCAGCACAGAGCCATCGTGACTGAGGTAGAGCTTGCACTAAAAAGGCAAATCTAGTTTCAAACGTTCTCTGTATTGATTTCCATCATCTTTTCTTCCAGGACAACAAGGTGAACGGCGTGACTGACTCCACAAGGATTATGGGCTACTCCTTCCTTTTCCCCTCAGTCATTCCTTGCCCCTATGTGCAGACGGTGACTCTCACCCCTCAGGATGAGTTCTTCATCCTGGGCAGCCGTGGGCTGTGGGACGCTGTGTCTCCTACAGAAGCAGTGGAGGCGGTTCGGAATGTCCCGGATGGTCTCGCTGCGGCGAAGAAGCTCTGCACCCTGGCTCAAGGCTATGGCTGTACCGACAGCTTGAGTGCAGTCGTGGTGCAGCTCAGCGTGAGTGAAGACTGCTGCTCCTGCTGCTGCTCCGACCCGCCCCAGCCTCCCCCTAGTCCCGGCCTGGGCGCCTACCCATCGTCGTCTTCTGCCATTAAAGATCGACCCTCGGACGGCTCACTGCCTGTTCCGCCGTCTTCCTGCAGCGAAATTAGCAGCGAGATCAGCACCAGCGAGATGAGCAGCGAGGTGGGCTCCACGGCCTCGTCCGACGAGCCCCCGCAGAGCTCCTTTGTGTTGCTGCAGGATCAGCCTCACCACCCTCAGCTTCACTTGCACCATCAAGCCCAGCTGCTGTCTCTACAGCAGCAGCAGTCCCACACAACCTCCCAGTCCTGCCAGTATCTCCTCCCAGGTTCAGAACTGGCTTCCGCTCGGAACTGCTGTGCGCTCCACCCAGCCTGCCTGGCCGGCTCCTTTCAGAGGCAGCTGTCCAGCGCCACCTTCTCCAGCGCCTTGTCCGACAATGGGCTGGACAGCGAGGACGAGGAGCCCATCGCCGGCGTTTTCTCCAACGGGAGCCGAGTGGAAGTGGAGGCAGACGTTCACTGCCTGAAAGCGGAGCTGTCGCAGTTATCACCGTCCCAAAGCCTCGTACCCGCATCGTCCAGTCAGGAACGCATCTTGCTCAACCTTCCTCCACCGCCTCCACCTCCTTGCACCCCTGAACCCCTAGAGGACGGTGTGGACCTGAATCTGGCAGAGGCCGAGAATGGCCTGGAGAGAGACGAGTCGTGGCAAGGTGTGGGAGCAGGAGCTGGGGATGGTGGGAAGTTTCCGGGGAAGAGGAGGGTCAATGGTTCTGTGGCGCGTCAAGAGAAGAGTCACAACCTCATTGAGGTGGCAGCCGACGCCCCGTCCAAGAAATCAGGGGGTTACTTCACAGCGCCGGCTCAGCCTGACCCGGACGACCAGTTCATCATCCCCCCTGAGCTGGAGGAAGAGGTGAAGGAGATCATGAAGCAGCATCAGCAGAAACAGCAGAAGCCAGCCGGGACGGATCAGCCCACTGATTACTATGACACCCCTCTCTAGAGGGACACCGATTCATCTCCTCTACAGCACGCTGTGATTCTTCCGTTCATGCCCACGGACGGGTGGGTTTCGCCTGGAGGCTGTAGAATGCACATGTGAAAGTGTTTCACAACAGGCTTCTTCCATGCGCCGCCTCTTTGGAGGAACATGTAATGAAGCATTCTCAGAGTGAAACAAGCAAATGAGCCCTTTAATGATCCTCAACCTCCTCAAATCGCCCGAGAGGACACAAATTCCACGCACCCTTCTCGCAGACCTGTTTTTTTTGTTTGTTTTTGTTTTTCCAGTACATAATCAATACTAGTCTATTTGCAGATGGCATTAGCTTGTTATTGTACTTAATATGGATAATGATTCCATGGTTTATTTTGTTTTGTAAGAACTTAAATCAGTGTGATCGCAGTGAAGTTGCTAAAAGGAACCTTTTGAAATACAGACTCATCTTTTTATTATCAATCGATTTTTGATGAATCATACGCCATTACTACCACACCTAACTGTTTTAGATAGGGCACTTAAAATACTGTATTTCTTCAGTAAATCACAGTTCTTTGGCCTGTAAAATGACATAGAGATTTTTTTGTAGAAAATTTCCAATACTAACTCCTAGGAGTTGCATACTCTTTATGGTGACTCAGTCACTTTTTTACTAATCTTCTCTGAGAGAAATGGTGATTCTTTTTCAATGATTGTAAATAAGAAAAATGTTGTATACTGATGCTTTTAAAGGAACTGTATGTCGGTGAAGGCTTCTAGCTGTGGGGAGGATTTATTGTTTGCTGTTATGGAGGCGTGCCCCCTTTATCTAAACCCACAAAACATCAACATCACAACAGACACACACACACAAATGTAAATGTGCAATTGCAGGATGGAAACTAACATTCCGTAAAACATTTATACACTAAGTTGCAATGGTTTGCTCCACTTTGTTGAACTGTGATGTCCTGTAGTCATCACTGTATCTACTGAACACTAATAGGTATTTGCATGCACACGCAAACAATCACACACACGCACACACACACAAGACATTCACATACATGGATACTCACAGGTAATTAGCCCCACCTTCCTCCTGCAGTAACTGTTATCACCGGCATGACTGTGTCTAGTTCAGTAACACCAACAAGTATAGCCACAAGGAAAAGAGACACTACAAAATGTTCCTGTCTTTGGTATAATAAATTTTAAATTTGTGAATATAAGCATTGTTGTCTGAGACTTTTTTTTTCGGACATGTTAACAGTTTTATACAAAGATCACGACCATAATAAAAGCTTAATTTAGAATAACTCCATTTACACATTAAAGCTTCCTCCATTACTTCCAGGTCTTTACATCAAATGACCAATAGGTGGCAGTCTAAGGCAACATTTGGTTTTATCCAGCTCTCCATCAACGGTTGTAATGTTTTCATTGAAAAAAAAGTCCCAAGTTATTGTTAGGGTCAATCATTGGCATGCACATTTTCCATGTGCATGGTGCTGTTGTTCTTCATAAGCTTTTTCTTGTACTTTTTCTTCACACAGAGGACGCTGACAACTGTGATCACTAACATTGCCCCCAGCACAGACAGGGAGGAGGCCAGTGCTAGAGTGGTTTTGTCCTGCATGGAGCCTTTGTGCTGGCAGACATTCCCGTAGTACCACCAGTCATTCCCCACCACACACCTGCAAAGCAGACGAAAGGGGATAGAAATAGGAAATCTGACCGTTGTGTTTTCAGTATCCCTATGTCTAGATTTGAAAGGGGTCTTAATGAGTCATAAATTGTTTTAAATGTAAGAATATGAATTTTTACAGCCTAAAATGTCTTAAGGGCATTCTGATATTATACTGATATAAGCTCTTAAATTACATTATCTCATGCTGATGTTTTATTTAAAAAACAATTGCTGATTAAACATAATAATGGAGTGGTGCCATTCATTAATTTTCTTCCTAGCTAAAATAAACTCAACATGTTGCCTCATACTGTGACAAAATTAATTTTGCAGTATAACTTTTTCATTCCAGCTAGTAAACCATCAAATATTCTCTTGAAACCGTTTTTCTGTTTTTTGTAAACTTTTTAGGAAATTGAGACAGTTTTAAAGTAATTATTTCTCATAATCCATGTAGGTCTTAAAGTCATATGAGTGTTTTTCAGAAGGCATCGATGAGTCTTATACCTGTCAATGTGTCAATAACAAAAGCAGAGAGGAAAATAACTCATCTTTGGTATAATATGGGTATTTTGTTGTATCATTTAAAAAAACAGCACTGACTATGGTTATTTTTCACTGTCAAAACCTGCTCACCTGCAAGAAGGCTTCCCTTCATCCCCAACGCAGATTCCACCATTCTGACACAGCACATTTTGGCAAATATCTGAAGCATTAGTGGTTGTGGATGTGGTAGGTTTTACCGTTGTGGAAGGCACAGGCTGGGATTGTGTCAGATGGGCCACATCTATAAGCACAGATGAGATAAATGAGCGATTATAATCTTACATGCTTTCATATGGGCAGGAGAAAGTCTTTTCAGCACAGTTACAAACCTAATAGTGTCACACGGGTTTGCAGATCAAACTTGTTTTATGATAGCACACTTTGGATTCTTTATATTGGTTTAATGTATAGGCCTAGGTGATTAGATCCAAAGATGAGAGATAGCACAGTACAAAAACTTTTTTCACAGTTCTTAAGTATTTGTTTGCCATTATCTGTGTTTTTCTTAAAGAATAGATGACTGCATTGTAATTATTGTTAGAATGACTTTATATTTGGTCCTTGAATCTGAACACAAATATCTGTATTGAACTCCTTACATTCTCCAGACAGACTTGTTACTTGTACATGCATGATTTTACTTGAGTTGAGGTAAAAGTCGTAACAAAATTTTAAAAAAAAATCATCCACGCAGAGAAAAGGGGACCTGCACAGCTTATGACACAGAGAAAAATTATGATAGTCATGGATAAAATGGGGAATAGTGATGATGGGACAGGTGCAGAAAAGCAAGCAATTACCCATCCATTGCCCAAAAGAGCTCTTTGTTGTCAGCTCCAGGAATCTGTGTTGTTCTGACATAGATTTATTGTACGCATCAGAATGTAGTGGTGTTGATGTGTAAGTAATTAGTTAGGATGAGTTGGAGTTGGAGTATTTTCATTAAACTCACTCAATGTTTATGTCGTGATCTGTTCCCTTTACCTTCCATTGTGAGCAGAAAGATGGCATCTCCTCCCTTGACAAAGTCTCTGCTCTTAGCTCTGAGGTGTGTGAGATACACTGGTGTACCAAAACCCGGCCCTCGGAAATACTTGGACCCATCGGTATTCGTCACCTCAGTGCCAACCTTCCGTGGATCGTCCCAGAAAAAAAGGTCCGAATCTGAAAAAATGTTGCGTGAAGTTTAAACTATAAAGAGCAGCTTAGCATATGTTACAAGACTCTTCTCTGCGACAGCCCACCTGTTGCCTTCTCGGTTGGGTCAGTGGTGACGCTGCGCTGATTGGACATGCGCTTTTGAATGTGAGGGTGCTGATCCATCAGCATCATGGTCATCTGCTTCCACGGGCAAGGCCATGTTTGTCCAGCGTCCCCCTCCCGCGCCACGAGGTGAGCGTAGGCAGACAACTGCCCAGGATAGTCCTCTTTACCGCTGGGGTAAAGCTGCATCTGGAAAGTGTAACCCTCCTTGGAGGTGAATGGGGGGCTAAAGATCGAGGTGCCGAGTGGGGTCGTATCCATGACCTGGCCGAAGTTTTTCACCCGCCATACAAACTCGGGGCAGGTGGTCTCAGAAAGGTTAATGTCATCCAGTGAGAGTCCTCCTGCTGCCGGACCCGAGCCCCCCTTTGTCCCTTCAAAGACAACTCTGAACTTTTTTTTCACATCCAGACTCACATGGTGCAGCTGCCACAAATCCTGAGGAGGTCCTGTGTGAAAATGAGAGAGGAAAAAAAAAAAGAGGATTGAAATGACTTCATTTCTCCAGCAGAACTCTGTGAGCAGCATGGCTTTGACGCAGTCACCAGTTAGTGTTGTTATAAAGCGCAGCGTTCCATTGGGATTAGCTTCATCGTACTCCCTGACGTGGATCTTCAGGGTGTCGCTGGGACCAGCACTGTTGTAGTAGAAAAACTGCAAACACTGGTACCCTCTTTTTGGATAAACAAGCCTGCTCTCCAGCATGGCCGTGTCTCCAGCGTTGGCCGTACCAGTGTTAAAGTGCATAAAGTATCCTGATCCTAGAACAATGGCATAAAAAATGAAGTCAAGACTGAGTGAGTCGTAATGTATTGTTTTAGCACTGTGAATGTGACAGTAGCAGAGTCACTTTAGCATCCCGGGTAAAGCTGTGTAAAATCCTTTTAACTTAGTACTGTGTAAAACACAGCTAACAGTAGAAGAAACATCATGCACTTATTTTAACTTTTTTTTTTCTAAATCTGGATGAGTCGGCATGTTGGAAACATGCCGACATCATCATGATGTTGGAGATGAAAGTGAAGTTCAAAAGTATTTTTTTCTATGTGGATGTCTGGTTTAGACTTTTTAAAACATTTACAAGTACAGATAGATGTAATGGTAAAGGATGAAAAAAGCTAAATCAAAAAGGAATTTTTGAAAATCATGTGTTGACTTTCTCTTTATTTTTATTCAATTAAAGAATGAAAATAAAAGATTATGAAAGATGCTTTAAAAATTGAATTTAAATTAAACTCATTATTTAACATAGAAATACTATGTTTATTTCAACAGTGTCTCATGTCTCTCTAAGATCTATCTCACCTGTGCATTTGCCCATGTTGGAATAGTCCTTGTCGGGCCCTCCAGGAGCACTAGCGACCCTCTCCCAGTTGGCCTTGTCCCCATGTCCTTGGATCATCCCACAGATATTCTCACGCTCAAAATCACACGAGTCCAGGAAGGTGGAGCCTTGAGCTAGAAAATATGTGGTAAGCGCGTGTAAGAACAGCAATACACTCAGCAGAGCATCATTCAACTGAAAAAAGTGACCCGAATGTTTCAATTATTTTTGTTTTTGCCAAGAAAAAAAAAGGCCCTGCATGGTATTGACTCTTACTGCACTTGTAGAGGCGGTTCAACTTCAGCAGGTCACTGTCGCTGAACTCCATTCGCTGTCCGATGACTTCGCTGAAAGCAGGGATCTTGGTGACGATGGTGGGCTCAGAACCGTTCTGGAAAGCACCTTTACTGTAGTGCATCATGGAGTTGTAGTCGTAGGGTACGCCCAAAGAGCTGGAAACGGTGTCATCGTATGTGTTGAAGTTGTGTTCTCTGCCTACAGAAAAAAAATAAGCACACTTTTAGAAAATTCTTAAACAGTTTGTTTATTCATAGGGGTTTAAAGATGCTCTAGAAATTGCTGACCTCTCTATGGAAGATGTACTTTGACTACAGTTTAAAGGAGATGATACATTAGCAAACTGATGAGCAGAGGTCAATTTCTTATGGACATACTTATCATGTATGCAATAAAACAATTGGCGCACTAAAAGTCGCAATAAAACTCTGCAAAAGCAATAAATGTCTCTTACTTTTGTTATACAGAGGTGAATATTATTTACTAGCGAGTTGACATGTGAAGGTAATCTGTTGCTCTGGAATTTATTTATCCATAGCATAGAAAGGACATTACCTTTCTATACTTTGTAAATATTTCACATAAAAATATTGATTAAATACTGAAGTTTTTGTAACGTTCTAAGAGGTAAGACTACTTTTGCAAGGCACTGTATATGCAATCGCAGTCAAGATTTTACAAAAAGAATCATTTTTGTCACAAAGAGAAAACTATTTAATACCGTCCGAGATGCGGTCCCACATGATCTGCACATAGTCATCGCGGTCTGACCTGGACTGCTCATGCCAGAAGCCCAGAGCATGAAGGAACTCATGTTCTATCGTAGCAATGCGGTCGCAGTTCCTTCCTATTGACAACCTCTGCTTCCCAACCTTGCGATTACCAACAGAGGAGAAGCAGCTTTGGGAAGGGAAGAAAAGCTTTTATGAACATCAAATAAAACCCGCAGAGTCTTATCACGACTCCTTCTCAAGTGCTGATTTAATAATAATGCTTTAATCCCCAAGAAAGTACAGCTTGTCTCACTATCTAAAAGGGTAAAAAAAAAAATAATAAAAATAATAGGTTCTTCTTCTTTTACCCGTTTCCTTTAAAAATGGAAATGTAGTTTT